AGAAAGCTAAGAAGCATAGATACCGAAAGAACCTAATTTTCGGAATTAATTTATCGATCGTTCCATTTGGAAAATTCGTCGTTTTCCCTGCTCAATTTTCCGTCGTGGCTTGTGAAAGATCCCTCACATTTTTGTCTGTCGACCGTTCGAGTATTTTATTTACATTTTGGGCGATCGTGGAAGCCCTAGAATCGGAATGATTCGCGTTCCTATTATTATTAGTATTGTTTATTGTTATTGTTATTATGTTTATTACTTTGAAAATGAGTGGTGTGTGGGAGACGGGACTGCAAATGTCTCACATGGTTGTGAAGTTGCGGGGCGACCGAGTTTTTTGAGTGGGCAAATTCCGGTGCGCAGGGAATTCCAGGTCGACTGCCTTTTGTTTGCTTTCTTCCGGCGATGACGACGACTCGGCGTGTAACGGTCAACACCCTAAACTTATTTGCACTTCACTTTTCTTTTTCTCCTCGAAAATTTTCCTCTGGATTTTCTTGCATTAAAGTAGTCCGCGAGTGCACTTGAACAGCGTTGTTGGAGCGTCTCCTGCGTGCTGATCTCTTGATGATCATTCGCTTTGTTAACGGATAAATTTCTGAGGTAGAATTCCGTTATAACGAACGGTGATGAAAAAACAACGATTTAATCCTTCAAAAAAATTAGCTGGATTATGAGAATAAATATTTACATGGCTTTCAAATAATTTCTGAATGAAGTTCACGATATCAAAAACTTGTGTTCGGTGTTGGGAATAATTTGTCATTATTCCTAATCTTGTCAGTTGTTCGATAGTAAATACAATGTTTGAAACATTAAAAATGGAGACCTCAGGTTCGATTTTTTTTTACAATTTTTTAGGAAATTTGCTATTGCCGTGTCGAAAATTTAATGTCTTTCCTTCACTTGGGAAGAGAATGCATATCTAACTCTGCAATTATATAAAGTTTTGTGAGCTTTTCAAATCCTCTCCCCCTTTTATTTTTGAACCGATGTATTCATGACAAAATTGTAGGAAACTCGCCAATTAATATTATTATGATTTGAATACTGCAAGGCATATTTCTGACGCCCTGAGTTGCTGGCTTAGGCAAATTTTGTCAGGTGTTAGGCTTGGTTTACATCAATTTTTATCGCATTGCCTAGTCAGTTGGTAAGATCAGGGATTATCGTAGTGAGGCTTTCGATGGTAAGTCATATTCTTGCACAAAAAGCAATGCTGTGCAGTTGAGTCTATTACTTTTTTTTATTTCTTTTCATTATGGTACTTAAACAGTGCAGAAAATTTCGGTCGGGTGGGTGTTCAAGAGAAAGAACCGAAATAATTCATCTAAAAACGTAGCTGATGCCCTTCAAGTTATGAGAAAAGCGAATTTATGTTCCTTGTTCGTATGATTTTCTGCCTGAAGAAAGAAGGATGGTGTTTGAAAAAAAATTAATGGGGAAATCCGTCTTATGTTCTTTTCGTTCCTTTACGTGGGAGAAAGTCCTTGCTGACAACCTATCGTTTTCTGACGTGCTTTTTTTTTCCTTGATAAAATCTGCGTGAAATGTGCGGGAAGTACTGATCTCGATCAAGAATTCAATTTTTGAATCTGTTAATCAAGCTGATGCATTCCGATTTCTTTGACGTCCTGCTTTCGACGTGAAAGCACAGCCCAGTTTTATTTTTGTGTGTTCTGAATAAATTTGAATGTGCTGAAGGTTTGTTGTTGCACTTCTGATCGGAAATCGCGGTCAATCAAGTTGCTGTATACAGCAATTACAACTATCATTCTTTCGAAGCCCCGGAGAAATGATAATTGTATCAGTTTAAAATATTCGTGTCTACCAACCAATTTTCCAGAGCCTACAAGAAGGAGCGAGGCTGCAAAACATTCTGACGAGCCAATTGGCAGCTTTGGAGAGAAGCAAGAAAAGCTACGAGAAAGCGTGGCGAGATGCAGAAAAGGCGCAAGACACGTTTCAGAAAGCAGACGCTGACCTCAATTTGTCCAGAGCAGAAGTGGAGAAACACAGGAACAATAATTCCATTAAATCTCAACAGTGCGAAGAAGCCAAGAACGAATATGCTGCTCAACTCCAGCGAACAAATGAGCTCCAGGTTCGTATTTTGCATCACTTTTACTTTTTGCTTAATCGTTGTACTTTATACTTTTTATTTATTGCTTTTAATAGTTCAATTTTCTTTATTTTTCTCAATAATGTCAATAATTTTCTCAATAATTTTTCATCACTCGACTTTTTATTTTCAAATTTGCAAGTACAGTACAGTATTTGAAATTATATTATAAAGCCTTATATACGTACATGCGCTCCTGACACAGTAGTTCTTGTTTCATGTACTGAACAGTACTAAAAACACGGGTCCACTGTTTTCCAGATGAATTATCTCGAAATTTTTTAAGCGATAACAATTTTAAATGACCTTCGTTCCGTCCTATCTGAGACTCGTGAAATGGTTTCAAACGGTTTTCGATTTTCTGTGGGGAAAAAAGCATACAGTATACATTATATAGAGCTGAAAGGCCTGAACAGTATTTATATTGGCATGAAGTCAAACCCACATTCATATTAAAAGAGGCCACGTCAGGCAAAGGTTTTTTTTTAGCGCATTTTTATGAAAATGTTTATTGTTTAAATATTTTCAGCTTCAAATTCATTCTGTATGAGATGTCACGGGGAATTTTAAAAATGCCTCTTGATTTGAATAAATGTCCTTGGTACATGAATGGATGACACGTCCCAGATAAGTTGTATCTTTTTTTTGCTCCGCGGGATTCCCTGAACATGAAATGCAGGATCCCTGTTCGCAATTACTGTATCCGTAATTGTTCAGTCGGAAGAGCACGATTAAAAATCAGATCTGCGCAAATTATTCCGACGCACACACATACACACAAATACAACCTTTCGAACCGGTTTCTGTGCGTTTTATATGCACTAAATCCCTGTGTTCGGCGTGAAATTATTCTTCTGTTTTTTGTTTTTTCAGCGTCAACATTATAATGAACTGATGCCGTCAGTGTTCATGAGTCTGCGGAACCTGGACAATAAGCGGATTCAGAATTATCAGGCTGCCATGCGACGGTACGTTGAGGTGGAAAGAGACGTGGAACCCATTATCTCGAAATGTTTGGACGGAGTTCTGAACGCTGCTGATGCTATCGAAGAAGACGAGGTGAGGAAATCGTGCTGTGCTTCTCGCAAATGGTGCCTTGAGGTTGTTTTCCGTGAACTTGAAGGTCAAAGTGTAATATTCTTTTAAATTTATAACGATAACTTGTTTTGTGAGGATTTTTGCCATTCTTCTCTTTTTTTTGTGGGCCGAAGTAACGGATTCTGTAAGATTTAGTTCAACTTCCGCGATGATGGAGTTGTTTTTGTTTCTCTTGGAGTAAAATTCAATGTCGAAGTGCGTTTCAAGTCATAATCCTGGTTCTTTTCAACTCCTACTCCATCGCCTCGCGATACTTCGCTGGCTCCGTGTTTTCGTTGCTGTTCCGCAGGTGTCGCTCAAGTCTGGTCATCATTTTGCCTAAAGCTTCTCAATACGGGATGTTATTAATTGGGTTACATTATTTCGGTTTCTCCCGAGGCGGGCTAATGTTGATAGGTCTGCGATGTCGTTACCTGCCTAAAATACAATACATTAATGCCAGTTTTAGGCAGCTTTTTTTTTCGAAATAGTCGATTTAATTTAATTACAGGTCCGCCTGATTCTGGTTGGCTGAATTATTGCACTCGAATTTAGAGTCAATTGTTATTTTGGTCTGATCAACGATTTAGGCGACACCTGTGTGTCATTCCTGAAAAATATGATTGTTGGAGATCACGACGTGTCCCAAAGCAGCACGTCCTACAAAACAGCCTGCCCAAAAAAGCGCATGTCAAGAAGAGATTGAGTACAATACAGTAATTCATGCGGTACATATATGAATTAATTATTGCGTCAGAACATGTATAGAATAGAAGAACACATGACTATACAGCAAATCTCGATAAAACGCCACCATCCGTCAATGAGGCTTTTGGCAGTTTATCATAAATGTCTTCAAAATTGTATGCAAATGAATTTTATTCGCAGGAAAAAATAATCTTAATTTTTATATCACAATATAACTTTTTGAGTATGTTTTCAGCAGAATAATCTATACGAATGGCAATTCTTTTAAATTACTTGATTTGCAGCAAATCAGTCTACAATTTGTGAGGAGATTCGATAAAAATATTATTCTCTTCAGGTTTTTCATTGTTTAAAATGAGTCTATTAATCCCGAAGTGTGCCAAAATGGAGAGCAGACTTCAAAATTGTATTTAAGAACGAATTCAATCTTTTCAAAATTTGGCAGAATGTACTACAGTATATGCATTTGTTTCATCCTTTTTTGTTTTATCTTGAAGGACTCGAGGCTAGTGATAGAAAAGTTCAAGTCGGGGTTCCCGATCCCGGGAGACTTCCCTTTCGAGGACCTGAGTGCGATGAAGTCCGGGGAATCCTCGACGACGCTGAACGGC